GCAGCCTTCTCTTCTCTAGGCTGAACAACCCCAACTCTCTCAGACTGTCCTTGTGGGAGAGGTGCTCCAGCCCTTGGATCATTTTTGTGGCCCTCCTCTGGACGCGCTCCAACAGGTCCATGTCATTCCGGTGCTGAGGGCCCCAGAGCTGGACGCAGTGCTCCAGGTGGGGTCTCACCAGAGCAGAGCAGAGGGGCAGAATCACCTCCCTCGACCTGCTGGCCACGCGTCTTTTGATGCAGCCCAGCATACAGTTGGCCTTCTGGGCTGCAGATGTGCATTGCAGGCTCATGTCCAGCTTTTCATCCACCAGTACCCCCAAGTACTATGTTGGATGCTGTAAAAACATCCATATTTAAGGATCGTTAAAAACAGAAAAAGATTACTTACAGATATATACGTCTCCCACAGCATTCTCCTTAGGAAGCTGGCGGCTCATGGCTTACACTTGGCTGGGTAAAAGAACTGGCTGGGTGGCCGAGCCCAGAGAGTAGTGGTGAATGGAGTTAAGTTCAGTTGATGACCGGTCACAAGCGGTGTTCCCCAGGGCTCAGTTTTGGGGCCAGTCTCATTTAATATCTTTATCAACGATCAGGATGAGGGGATTGAGTGCGCCCTCAGTAAGTTTGCAGATGACACCAAATTGGGTGGGAGTGTCGATCTGCTGGAGGGTAGGATGGTCCTGCAGAGGGACCTGGACAGGCTGGATCGATGGGCTGAGGACAGCTGTATGAGGTTCAACAAGGCCAAGTGCCGGGTCCTGCACTTTGGTCACAACAACCCCGTGCAACACTAACAGGCTTGGGGAAGAGTGGCTGGGAAGCTGCCTGGCCGAAAAGGACCTAGGGGGATGTTGTTTGACAGCCAGCTGAACGTGAGCCAGCAGTGTGCCACTAACAGGCTTGGGGAAGAGTGGCTGGGAAGCTGCCTGGCCGAAAAGGACCTAGGGGGATGTTGTTTGACAGCCAGCTGAACGTGAGCCAGCAGTGTGCCCAGGTGGCCAAGGCGGCCAAGAGCATCCTGGCTTGTATGAGGGACAGGGTGGCCCGCAGGAGGCAGGGGCTGAATGTCCACTTGATCTGAAAGGTCTGGCCAGCAAGTGATGGCACACTGTATAACAGGGTGAAAAGCTAAAGCAAAATTATGGATACCACAATTCCTCTCATGTTTTTCACCCATTGGCTTGCTGAACTATGGCATGGTCTAATGCAGAATATGCTGGGTTAGACACTCAATGATTAACAGCAAACTAGTTTTTAGGAAGGACTGGTGGGGAAAAATTTTTATTAGGAAAAAAGTCTTTACTGAAGGAGTGGTCAAGCATTGGAACAGGCTGCCCAGAGAGGTGGTGGAGTCACCATCCCTGGAAGTGTTCAAAAAACGGGTAGACGTTGCACTCTGGGACATGGTTTAGTGGGCATGGTGGTGTTGGGTTGATGATTGGACTGGTGATCTTAGAGGTCCTTTCCAATCTTAGTGATTCCTAGCTTTTACTTTCATTAAAAAATAACGCAGCCACCAAGCCAGGGAACATGAAATTACTGCTCTACCCTTAACTGGTTTAGTGGTGTACTTGGTAGCATTAGGTTAATGGTTGGACTGGATGATCTTAAAGGTCTTTTCCAACCTAAACGATTCTATGATTCTATATCTTCATGGATATCCGTTGAAATAGGTCAGGTGGTGTCTGTCAGTTGTAACATAGAGGCCTAATACAAGCCTTGGGAGCAGATGTGAACTGCATAACCTCTTTAAAATGCTCCCTTACTGTTTTTAGGAGGTTACTGTATAGTGGCAATTACTAGGTCCATGTGTTAATAAAAACATGTTACAAAAAGTGTAGTGTGATCAAAACTGCTTCTCACATTTAAACCACAAACCAGCAGCAGAGGTTCTGCTCATGGGAGAAATCAAAGATTGATTGCTACAGAACACCCTATAGTGAGATAAAATGTAAAATATTTTAAAAATACAAATTCTTCAAATACTGTAATCCAGCAAGCGCGAACATCTTGCAGTAGATTTTATAGTACTCTTCCCTACAGCAGCAAAAGCAGATATGTGAATGTGTACTGATTTAAAATCCAATTGTCTTTACATGGCAGGGTCTCTAAGACCACAGCTGCCCTGAGGCCAGAAATACCAAGTTTATCTAGTGCCACCACACTTTCCTGTAATGCCAGACAGGCAGTTGGAGAGGCAGATTTACATCTCCATCACTGGGAGAATGAAAAGTAGTACTGTTAATTTTCTTTTCCTCTGTCTTAATAGAAATGAATGGTTGTGTAAGCAGTGTCAATGTAAAATTTTATGTGGATGTCAATTCTGTATTTTTCAGTATTATATTGCTGCTCTAAAATGAATTCCTCTTATCTTTTGCAGCACTTAAAATTTACTTTATTATTTTATTATTTATAAAAATGTCACACACAAAATCTTTTTTATTATAGATTTACAAAGATGATTCTTTCATGTTATATTGTATGAATCACCAAGGCATCTTCTAAGCTTATTAAATGTTACCTCATATTTGATTACTGTGTTTAATGTTGTTTAATGTGCATGAACATAACTATATAGACAGGTTTTAATTAGGGGCCTCTTTCATGGAAAGCTTAAAAGCAGATGGTGTTTGTTTATATTTTGTTTTCAACAGAAATACAAAAAAAAGCATTTAGTGTTTACTTGTAGCTCATCTACCCCTGGAAATTAAAAGCTAGCAAAGTTGAATAAAATGACACTGTTTTGAAAGACTTAAGCTGCACTATTCCTTCTGTTTAAAGTTCAGCATGCTCCTACACTTCAGAGCTGGCTGTGGACCAGTAATAAAGTATTATTTTTCTTCCTGGAACTGAAAGGCTGCCTATTACAACAGCAGTAATAGTGATAGCATAATCAGCATTTCTTAAATCTCATTTCTATCTCTTGTCTGCCGAGTTCACGTCATATGGAGATTGTATATTAATCCATGCCAGCAGAACGATGAATTGGCAGTTTCTGTCAATGCGGACGAAAAGCTGTGATTTTTCAAATTAATTTGCATGCTTTAAGTATTTGTAAATTACAACAGAGTGTCGAATTTGATGGTTATTCATACATCTTTAAAGTCTTTATATGCAAGTGACTAGAAGTCTTCCCAAATACAATCCAAATCCGTCTCATCACTGTTTTCGCACCATACAGGAAGGCTTCTGTACATTGTCACATAAGAGTTCGGTCAACCAGGTGGCCATTTCTGTAACTGACCGTAAATGTGAAATACATACATGCCTGTGTGTACATGTATACATGTATGTCTGAGTAGATAAGGTCAGTCTCGACCTTTTGAGTGAATATAGGTGTAAGTCCCACACAGCTGTAATACTTGGTCTAGCCTTTTTCCAGTATTGTAGCGATCTCTTCTTATTGCCAAGTATCACATCTACTGGATTAGATGGTCACATGTTTTTTTATATTTAGCAACTTCTGTGTTGAGTATTTGTACTTGCGGAACTTCTCCCAGGTGAGCTGAAAGACAGGAGAAACAGTATCAACTATACTTAATTGTATTAATATTACATGGTTTATAAGATTATAGGAGTTCTTTCTTAGAGCAGCTCTCCAAGTTGGGAGTTTATTTGTCTAGTTTTGCCTGTTTAGGTAAGTGTGTTTGCAACCACAAACCTGTTACAGAAACTGCTTATCACAGCGCGAGGATTACTGTAGTATTAGGTCTGTATGTGAAATGACTACATGCTAATTTAAAAGAAGCAGTATTAGTGGTACCTCAAATCCCAGTCTTCCCTTGTCTGTATTTCTTTAAACCACATCTGTCTGCTTTTGCTTTCCTGTACGTCTGATGACAGGAGAAGAGTGGGATAGAAAACCACCAAAACAAAAATTACTTTTGGTTTTACCTTTTTAATTACAGTATTATTTTTGACATGTGAAGTTTTATTTCTGCCCTTGTAGCGAGGTACTTGATTTGTTGACGCTTTCTTGGTACTTACAGCCACTTATATGCACAGTTGTTTGGGGGTAATGCTGCTATTGAACTTAGAGCTGAGGGAGGATTGTTCCACTAAAGACAGACTGGAGTAAAATTACTTTTGTCTTTGCTTGAATGATGTACATAATTTTTTTTTTTGTTAATATCTATGATGAAATATGTAGGCTTTAAAGTTTCCAATCCTTGTTTCTTCCCCATTCTTTTATAGGCAATCCGAAGTTTCCAGGTATCCTTACACATGTTTCCAATGAACCCTGAAGTATGGAAAGAGGATCTTTCCTGGGCAAGAAAACTACTTGAACAGCAGAAGGGAACAAAGACTGAGGCAGTGCAAGCACTGGCAAAAGAAAAAGAGCTTGCACAAGAATCGATCCCAGACTATGACTTTGAAAGTGATGAAATTGTGGCAGTCTGTGCTGCCATCGCAGAGAAGGAGAAGGCTCTTTCGGCAGCTAAAACGGTAGTGATTGTGTCTGCTTCAGGCACAGTAGAGACTGTTACCGAGAAGGAGAATTGTCCTACAACTCCTGATGAAACCCTTTTCATCAGAGCCCGATAGGACAGCCTTATGGGTTGCCAGTACTGTTTTAAGAACTAGTGCTATTTATTTTATCGGGCTTGCTTTGTTTTTGGTTTTTAAGCAGTGGGAGAGCCTACAAAAGTTAAAGAACTGAAGTTATTTTTCTTTTGTAAATTGAAAAAGCAATGATCCGAGTTGTTGTTCCATCCATGTTTTTGGAGAAGAAAGCCAGGAATTGATTCTAAGGATCTTATGAACAAATGTAATGTTAAAATGCTTAACTACATTAACTGCTTTCATCTTTCTGTATTTCATAATTTTACAAGTTAATGTCTACATTTTCCCAGCAATTAATAAGCTTTATTTAAATTGTAAAAGAAAAAGGGATTTTTTAAAAATCTATTTCAGTCCTTATTCATTAATAATACTTATCTTCCAGTTAAAGTGTGAACTGTTCTCTGTTATCAGAAGTTTTTATTTTCATTAAGATTGCTTTTTCTATGAGGATGTTTCCTGTGAAGCAAAGATGTATTATTTTGCTTGTGTGTGTGTGATAGATCTGGCATCTGATTTGTAGTCAAATAAAATCAGTAGAAACCTTTATGTTGCTTTCATAGGTGAATGGGTTAAATGCTTTCTGATTAGATGAAAGGAAATGCTATACCAAACAAGCCCCTGAATGTTTAGTTATTACTGAACATTTCACCAGAAGAAAGAACATTCAGCTGAGACTGAAACTGGCCTTTCCTTATCTTGAGTGCTGTGCTACAAACATCACCAGAAGTAAAATGGTGGGAGTTGGAAATAAGTGTGTCTGAAGTGTATTATGTTTAGCCTTTTCTTTCCTAGTGAGGCTAAAATGATAAAGGGAGTCATTTTTTTTTTTCCTAATTCTTACGACCTGCCATTTAAAGTATGTTCTTAGTGAAACAGTTTTTCAGGACAAGCATTGCATGAGTCTCCCTTTTTATCACTTTTGGATTTTGGATGCTATGGTGGGTATTCACATTGTGTTAACTTAGAGGCATAATGCAGGAGATTTGTTTAATGTTCATCTTTCTTTAGGGGAAGGTGGCTGTTGATTCCTCACACAGGCAGTTCAGAGAAACAAAGTCAGGCTGTTTCTTTGATGTGCTCTGCTGGCTTTTCATTGTCTTGGAGAAATGGTAGAGATGGTCACCTCCTAACTGGACTGGAAAAAATGGTTAACTGAGGAATTCCTGGAGCATTCAGGATTGGGAACACATCATTTCTACTTGATTTTGGTAACATTTTGCATGATAATAAACATTTGAGTAATCATTTTGTAGACAAGTGAAACCTTTTGAAATCAGTCATCTTTGCATTTTTCATATCTGATTTCTGTTTTCAAAATAACACATTTGTAAAGGAAATAGTGTTGCTCGAGAAGCATAGTGGTTTTTGCAATAGAAAGTGTATTGTAGAAAAATTATTTATCTCAGATCATACTTTCAGTTGAATATCTTTATTTAAGAGGACACTTGGAATCTTTGCAGAATTAATTATCCCTTTCAAAAACTTGATTGCCATGTTGTACTTACTAAGTTTTCATGAATTTTTTGTAAGTCTTCCTGAATATATTTTTGTATATATATGAATTTTTAGATCTGTGCTTGCACACGCACACACAAAAAATTTACACTTACCATCTCCTGAGTATTCAAAATAATTATAATTACAGTGACTAAAATATATTAAGACATGTAAAACATCACCATGCTACTTTTTAATTTGTTCATTCAGTTCAGAAATAGATCTTAAATGCTTACTGAACAGGCATTTGATTAAGATACAGTTTGATAGACAGTTTAAATTATCTCTGTTGAAGAATTTCTCAATCTTATTTTTCCTTGCAACTTAAATAATACAATCTGTTCAGCCATAGGAAGAGTTAGTATGACAAAGATTTGGACAGATTTCTTCAAAGAGGAGACATTCTCTGGCTAGAAAAGGAAATGTGCGGGAAGCTGTAAAGTATGTTTTCATTTTGAAGGAGCTCAGCTATAATCCAACACATCTTTTCTTTCTTTGCGCTTCATACTTGCGTCAGTGTTATGTATTTACTCTTACAGGAATGACTGCCTTCCTCCTTTCAGAGGTCCATGTTATCACAGAATCTGTTTCCACTGGAATGATTCACAAAATCCCTATTGACTTTAGCACTGCTGGGCCAAACTAGTGTGTGGGGGGTACATCTACACCATCAGGCAGAACGGCCATGCTGGGTTTGAGGGGGTTGTATCCACCCCCTGTAGTAAATGTGTTTTCCTTCTGATTAGATTAGGTCTAGGTATTGTCAGGACCGTAGTGTCTTGTAAAGCACTGTAGAGCAGATAAGTTCTGACACTGTTGTTCTCAAACTAGGAAGAAGTTAAAAAATTGATGATTTCAACATTGTTTTTTGTACAACATGCCATGTTTTGCATGTATGGGATTTTTTGGATCTGTTTGAATAAACTACTGACTTCTCAGCTGGTTAGTGATGCCTGTTTATTCTTTTGGTTATAACCAGAATAAGGGCTACTATTGAGCATTTTAGAGTGTTACTCATTTAATCAGTTGGCTGCTTCTGTCTCTGATGAACATGTGAACGTGTTACAGAAAAAAAAAAAAAAGACATCTCAGGAAAAATGTTTATTAAAAGGTAGTGTTCAGTGCTTTTAAACCTCTTGGGTGTATCCAAATGAGAGGGACCCAAAGGAGAAGGCCCTGGAGAACATTATCAAAAACAGGATATCTGTGAAGCACACTCCCACTTTGCAGCAGG